TCAACATCAATGATACCGCTATCTGTTTCCATTTCTGCAAGTGCATCTCTATTGCATATGCTACCTACAAAGGGAACCAAGCAAGATATAATCAATTAAGAACACTAGCAGATGCTGCAACTCTCAAAAACTTATCCATGAACTCACCTTTAATTGGTGGGTGACCTGAAATGCAGAGACTGGTTTTAGTTTTCCTCTCAACGGAATCAACAGCTGGGACATCAGTATTGTCCATGTACTCAACTTCAGGACTCTTAAAAGAATCACAAGTAGACATAGTTTCATCCAAGGAAAGTGACACTCCATCTGATTTAGTCGGAGAGACATCCATACTACTAGAGACGGCGGTGGCATCAGTTCTTGAGATTGCTGGAACATTGCTAGGGACAATTGAATTCGTCGTTTTGACATCAATCAATGTGGCCGTATGAGCCGCCGCCGGCAAGTTAGCAATGCGAGTTCTAGCAGGGGAACTCTTCCTTGCCTTGACAGCTTTGGTTGCACAAGGCACCTGCAAATATAAAATTTCATTTAGGAACGCTTTAGAATCATTGGATTTAAACGAACAAAGAGGCACATGCTGCTGTCATACACTAAAGAAAAGGGTTGACCCACAATGATATCCAAATTGTAAATCCAAGAACTTCGTAAAAAAAAAAAAAAACATTTTATATAACGACATCAATAATGTTTTCAATTCTCGTACTTGTTGCTTCGAAAGGAAACAAACACAGCTACAAGAACATGTTACCCTGCTAAAAAATCAGCAGAGTGTTTCCTAAGCTACCCAAAAAGACTGATAAGTGATATGTTGAATATAAAATTGTTTCAGGAATCTGGAATCTAGACCCCTTCTTGTTAGCCCATAATTTTAAGCTCAGCTTGCTAAGTTCTTTGATTAACAAGGAAAAACAAACAAGGATATAATAAGAAAACTCTGTTCAAGTTTTGGGTATGATCCAGACAGCCAACAAAAGTGAGCTACAAAAAAACAGGGGACATTTTTTATCCATTATCACTCTGTCTCAAGCAATTTAATGCATCGTTGAACAATCCCAATAATATGCAATTCATTTCAGAAACACCCATAAACCAAAAAATCAAACCCTACTGAAAGAAAAACATCAACTCCCACAAATGAAAAGAAACCATAGAACAAAAATCATCAAGACTCCTTTGCAAGTAATTAAGTACCATAATAGCAGGCGGAACAGAGCTTTTAGCAGCATTATGAGACACACTCTTGAGATTCGTTAGGTTACCGAGTGGCGCTCGCTTCTTCGCCAAGTGTGGCGGAACTGCCACAACCTTTCCGACATTATCGGACGACGAGGCCGACGACGCTTGTCGTTTAGCCAACGACGACGACGTCGACGACGAAAACGAAGGGCGGCGATTATGAGCGGACATGGCGAATCGGATCGGATCGAACGCAGTTGAGAATTTAAGAGTCAAATTCAAAAAAAAGACTAATAAATTCGCACAAATTTCTCTTCAATTCCAACTTCAAAACCTTCTTGGCGTAAGAGAGAAACGCCAAGAAAGCAAAGAATCAAAAATTAAACACCAAAAGAACAAAAAAAATTGGGGAAAAGAACAAAAAAGAGTTGAAATTCTTGGAAATTTGATTGATGGAAATTTGATTTTGAAGATCAGAAACAGAGAGAAAAAGGAAGAAGAAGAAGAAGAAGAAGAAGAAGAAGAGAGCGTTATCGAACGCGAGCAAGATGGGAAGTGTGATTTATAATAAAGGGGGGTTTTAATTACAGTTTTCTTTTGCTTTAGGGCGCGGAATTTTGATGATTTTGAATTCCGGCACATCCTGACCGTCGATTCGCCTCTCGGTATTCGTTAGGACTCGACATCGGAGGCGGGGCCCATTTAGTCTACGTAGCATCGCCTGCGGGTTTCGTATGGAGCATCACAGACAAATGGAATACCGCCATCTGTCGCTTCCCATTGCCTTTACATCTTGGGGTTGTCGGACTGTGTGGGGGCCTTTTTGCAACATTGGTAAGTCACAGTGCTGTCAGATTAGAATTCAAGTTTATTTGAATTTGAATTCAAAACGGTCACTGAACGCATCCATTTCTCTTTCTCTCTCCTCCGCTGCAAGAGAGAGAAAAATTGTTTTTTTTTTTAATTTTAATAAAAATAAGATTAGGTTAGTCACGCATTTATGGAAATTATGAAATAAAATCTTATTAAAGTTGAAAGAAAAGATAAGTCAAAGATCAAATTATGATTTATTACTTTATTTGTAAGCAAAATATATGGTATTTTATTCCATTGGCAAAAAATATATTGACACGTAGGATATTTTAAATTTATATATTATAAATTTTTCTTTATTTTTTTTAATTAAGTTATGCATTTATTGAACTAGTATGGAATATAATTGAGCAATAGGCTTCTTTCAAATTTAAGATTAAAACATTCATAAAAAGGTTAAAATTAGGGCATACTTGAAAAAGGTTAAAAAGGGCCATTTTTACACAAATTTCAAGAGGAAAGGAAAAGAACAATTATTTTAAAATGTGTTTTTTGTTTTAAAAAAAATATATATAGAAGATTTTATTTCAAATTAATTTTGATTTTTTAGTTCTGTAGAAGTAAAAAATAAAATTATAGACGTTTAAAATAATGAAGAAAATATTTATTAAATTATATTTAAATTGACTCTTAAAAAAAATGGACTAAATACAAAGTTGATTTACTTTTTTGTCCTTGAATTTTAAAATTTCCCATTTTGTCCTTATGCAATTAATTATAGATTTTTTTTTTAATTTTTTTTTTATCTTCCCCTAACAAAATAATAAAACATTTACTTGGTTAACGTTAGACGAGTTTCTTTATTTTCGTAGTAAAATTATTTATAATTATATATAGAAAACCCATTAAAAATAAATAAATAAGGGCTAATTGTCTTATATGTTTCAATATTTTCTTATAAGTTTGGACTTTTGTTGTTTATTGGGTTTCGAACTCAGGAGCTGTGCCACCAATTCTAATTCAAATTTTAGTAGCTTTGAATTTTGAATTCAAATGGGAAACTGTTTTTATTTTATATATCTGAAAAGAAAAAAAAAACAATATTGCTTAATCTACGGATAATGCTGGTTGTGATTGGTCCAATGTGTTGACAGTGAGTGACACACCAACCGCTACTTAAATCTTTTCTACTGGGCCGTTGTTGGGGAATTTAGGCTCGTGCATGTTTTGTGTCGTGTCCAAAATTCTACGAGAGGTTTAAGACTCAAATAGCATGACTCGTCTAAATGGGTTGGTCATCGAAGAGATGACAAAGCTGTTGAGTATTGTTGGGAGAAAAGTCCCACGTCGGCTAATTAAGAAGTTGATCATTAATTTATAAACCATGAAAGATTATACTAAAAAAAACAATATCATACAATTGTGGAGGTTCGTGATTCATAATAAGAGTCACACAAGCCAGTCATCCTTAGGTAGTGAGCTAACCTATGTGAGTCAACCATGGCTAGCCAACCCTTATAAGTTGGCTGAAGCTAATGGTCGTGGTTGGCCGATCCTATGCCCCTTCTTCTCCCCCTAATAAGCTCATACCTAAAGAATTTCAAAATTTTAGAGATATTTTCGATAAGGATGGCAGAGTCTCATCCTCTATTACATTACCCAAAAAATTTTAGAACGGTTTATTATTGTCTTAACTATTGTCTTTCGTTAATAATATTTTGTGAGGTCGACCTCTAATTGTGTAGCCTGTTCTACATCAATTAATTTTGTGTAAAGCTAATTGTCATAAATACTCAGTTGTTCTTAATTAATTTTTTCATTAACTTTCGTTTTTTTTTTCCTCCCCTTAAAAATGGATTTTCCAAGAACAAAAACAGATAAATAAACCAAAATATCACAAGCAAAAAAACAGTATTAATAGTTAGATTTCCAACGTCCTACGTGTTAGAAAGCACTTATCTCCATAGTGGTATAATATTGTCCACTTTGAGCATAAGTTCTTATTGGCTTTACTTTGGGTTTCCCCAGAAAGTCTCATACTGGAGATGTATTCCTTTACCTATAAACTCATGATCATTCCCTAAACTAGCTGAAGTAGGACTCACTCCCAACAATTCTCAACACTACACTGCTACGCCAATAGAATGAGCCTACCACTTTTCAAGATTGTCTTTGAAAATGCCTTTTCAAACAGATACAGACCAACTGTGTCTATGAGACTTGACACAATAACATTGTCTCTAATAACTGTCATTTGCAAGTTCACAACTGATACTACCTCAAACAAAATCGCAACCGATACAAATTGACTATCATATATTTGTTTGGCACTGCGATGAAGAATTAAATAAATAAACATTTAATGAAAATACTCACCATAGAGCGTGTTGAACAAGTTATAAGAATGTCCACTGATTTAACCTTCACCGAAAAGAATCTTTCAAAGAAATTAGTTCGATCTCAATAGAAAATTTCTCAGGTGCTTCGAACTAGTTCTTGTTCATCCAATCGATTCAAGCTAAACTGATAACTGAAATCCCAAAAACTTAATGGAATGGAAGAATAGAGTAACAATACTGAAACAGATAGCGGATCGAACACAGAACAACTTGGTGATTTTGTGTTGCACGAGAAAATGGATGGTTCAAGGTCATATTTCTACACGAAATCGTTGGTTCAAGGACAAAGGACCTGGACCGTCAATTTGAACGACCAAGATCTCAACCACTTATTTGGAAAGGATGTGAATGCGAGACGGACTCTCGTCACTTCAGCCTCAAATATAACTTTAATACACTTAAGTAAATTACCTTTTTAGCCCTATTTTACTTATCAATTTAGTCCCTAAATTTTAAAATCCGACAATCAAATACATCAACCATAGCAATTGTTTAATTTGGTCTATTTCAATTTCATACCCGAACTGAGTTTGAACCAATTAGTGACTAAATTATTTAATTAACTTCAGCATAATTTAGTTGATTATATTAATATTTTTTTTTACTTTTATTTGTGTTGATTGTATTAATATTTTTTACTTCTATTTACTTGTGTATTGAACTCAAAACATATTTAACATAATTTCGACCTACAAAAGTACGGATAAGATCTTGATGCTTCCTCGAGAATTCAATCTGTTGACCGTTCAGTTTGGTCGTTGGTGGTCAATATTTTAACGGAAGCGCCACTTGCCAACCCCCCACATGCCTTCATTGTCATTGAGACACCATCTAATGGCGAAGAGGCTCAGACCCACCCCACCCTCCACTCCCTCCGCCAAGCCATCGCCATCGCCACCGTCATTGCCGCCGTCTCCTCCGACCCCTCAACTCTTCCATTCAAAGCCCACCACCGTGTCCCTCCGCCACTCATCCAACGATCGAAACAAAACCCTAACCTACCTCGTATCCCCCGCATCCGCAGCATCCTCCAACTGGGTCTCTCTAAATCTCACCAGATCAGACCTCTCTTTGCCTCTCACTTTCCCCACCGGCCAAACCTTCCGCTGGAAACAAACCAGCCCCCTTCACTTCACCGGCGTTGTTGGGCCTCATCTTATCTCTCTCACCCATCTCCCAAATGGCGACGTTTCATACTGCCTTCACTCTTGTTCTACATCCTCCTCCTCCTCCTCCGCCGCCGCCGCCAGATTGGCCTTGCTTGATTTCCTTAACGCCGGTATCTCCCTAAGTGCCATTTGGGAGGTCTTCTCGGCGGCTGATCCAAGATTCGATTTCTTGTCGCGCCATTTGGAGGGGGCTCGAGTTCTCAGGCAAGACCCACTCGAGTGTTTGATTCAGTTTTTGTGTTCTTCAAATAACAATATTGGAAGAATCACCAAAATGGTGGATTACATCTCATCACTTGGGAATCATTTGGGTAATATTGGAGGCTTTGATTTCCATGAATTCCCCTCTTTGGAGAGGCTATCATTGGTCTCTGAGGCTGAGCTTAGAGAGGCAGGCTTTGGTTACAGGTAAATCTATCCATTCCAATACTAATTTGATCTAAGAAATCAATCGCTAGCTCTATCTGCGGGGATGGGAACACTTTTATTGATAGCATAACGTGAATAAGCAGGGCTAAATACATAATTGGCACTGTGAAAGAACTAAAAGGCAAACCTGGGGGAGGTGCAGAATGGCTTCTGTCTCTTCGTGATTTGGCTCTCGAAGAAGTGATAGAAGGCCTTACAGCTTTACCGGGCGTGGGTCCAAAGGTAGCAGCTTGTGTTGCTCTCTTCTCTCTCGATCAGCACCATGCCATTCCTGTTGACACACACGTCTGGCAGGTACTATATCCCTTTTCATATGAACTAAATTGATTCAAGTTCCTTTCATATGAACTAAATTGATTTAAAAGTTTATTCTTGTATGTGATGAAAAGATTGCTACTAGGTACCTTGTCCCTGAGCTTGCTGGTGCACGTCTAACGCCAAAGCTTTGCAATCGTGTGGCTGAGGCATTTGTCAGCAAGTATGGAAAATATGCTGGTTGGGCTCAAACTCTGCTCTTCGTCGCTGATTTGCCTCAACAGAAGGCCCTCTTACCTGCAAGCCTTGAGAATACCAAAAGGAAAAAATCTACAAAGGAGCAGAGAGAAAAGGCACATACTGGTAAATATAGATCAATGTGAATAGCTATATTAAGTTGGTCTCAGGCTTTTGACATTAATGTAAATTCCGATTTCTTGTAGAGCAAGATCCATAGGTGTTGGCATAGCTCTTGAAATTTGTTCGGGTTTTCTTTGGCTCGTTGACGTATTCTCCTGGAGGAAGAATTCAATATGTAATCCCCATGTTTGGGGAAGTCATACATTCCAGCCTTCTACTAAATGTGATCTAGTTAAAAAAAGATTAATTTTCTGTGACTAGAGAACTGTGGTTTCATTTCATTGTTGATCCTTGACATGAATCAATTAATAATTGAAGTATTGCATGATTGTTTCTAGGACTCCTAAAAGAATGAAATAAGCTGTGATCATGGAGATGATTATTGCTAAAGCTATGTATCTATTGAAAGCTACTGTGAATTATCTTGCCATGTGCTTCATTCATGCTAGACATCTTCCATCATTTATGTGCATTGTGCATCGACCAACAGTGTTTTGGTGACAAACGGACATGGATCGCCTCTAAAGTTCCGATTCGAGATTGGAATCACGCATTTAGCCTTCCCTAGACACGCCTGAAACATCACAAAGCTTTCATGTGAGTCGTCATCTTGAATACCTTTTATTTAATGCAAGATACAAATCTCTTTATAGAATGCTAATGCGTTTCAGGAAATTACTCACATGTTCTACAATGGCTCTGGAGTTTGGCGAGTGACATATTCCAACAGCGTAGCTTTGACAGTCACCAGATGGTGTCCCAAAGCTTGCAAATAAGATTTTGGAGATGTTCTTGTTAGTAGGGCAGCTTAATCGGACCTTAGGCCTTCTACTTTTGTTCTTTGTTCTACTTGCCCTCTGTTTCTTTGCACTCATCCATGAAGCTACCAGAGGATAATGTGATTCAGACACTTGCCCACATGTTTTGCTAATTGAAACAGAATCCAAAGATATCCCAACTGGGCTTCCTGTTTCTTCTTCCAAAATGACCAACAGGTTCTCAGTCGGCTTGAGGAAGGAACGTGGAACATTATACCTGGATTCAAAGGAGAGAATATGGAAGGAATTTTCAAAGGTGAGGTATAATATAACACCAGATATTAAGATCTGAATAAACTGTTTACCATTTCTGTGAAGGCTCCCCTGTTGGGGTGAGGAAGGAGACCCAGTATCGGCCAATACCCCAGCCGTTAACCCAAACTGCACCCTTCCCCATGGAACCAAGGTTCAGTGCAATTGGGTCATCACCAGGAGGTGCATCGAACTGAGTCTGCCCAATTAATGACGACAAAGGTCAGTTAATGAACACTGAATTCAGGATAGTTGCTATGCAAATGGTCTAAAAATTGATTGTTGGTAGTACCTTGTACCATGTGAGCGGCTGGGAAGAGTCTCCTAACCTGCTCCACTGAACATTACTTGACCCATTGTCTAAAAATATTTGCGATTGCTCTCCTGATAGGCCAACCTATGCAAAAATTGTTCAGAAAAACCGACAAAAATACATGTACGTATATTTTTTTTTAATATGACATCGGCTTCAAGTGTGTATGAACTCATATTACGGGTTCAAAAATTAAAGAACCTTGTATCCCCAAGGTTGCGCGGAGAAATCCTCGTCTTGAATCCTCACTCTTCGCAGTCCAGCAATTCGTCTCTCAAGAAATGCCCCAGAATCCTTCACATTATAGCTATTAGAATTCGCTAAGGTGAAATGCGAAATTAATATGCATCAACCATGGAAGGGAAGGTAAGAAGATTCGTACCGGTAAACCAACCATCACACTGAGCAATGAGATGTTGTTGATGCCATTTCTCAACGTAATATTATTCTCCAGAGAGAAACCTTTTTCTTTGTAAGTTCCGTGGGCGGAGCCTATAAACATCAATAGTGAAATTCTCGATATTGTGGTTTGATCGAGCTTTTAACCATACAAAGGAAGATAAGACTAGCCTGCATAAAGTCCATTGACAAATGCATGCATGGCATGAGCTAGCGAATCCACTTTCAGTGTTTGTTGAGAGTCAGGAGAATCCGCTTCAACCCTGCATTTCACAACAATTCTTCTACTTATTCAAGATTAACCTCAGCCGCCGCGTGATTTCTCACTTATAATTTACCTTAAAGTGTACCAAAGATAGTCTGAACTATCTTTTGTAGTACCCGTATGCTCTAGTAACTCGTTAGCTCTCAAATCGGTTTCGTTAAAGCTAGGTATTGATTCCTTGAACTCTTGCCATTCTTCAGACGAGTCAAACTTTTGTACTGTCTTCATTGATCTTGTATTATATTGTACGCTTACCTGATCATATATGTTTCAATGGTTGAAATTGATGCGGAAAAAGAAAACTTCTGCTGAAAACTTCCTGCTAGTTATCGGTATAAATCTTACCCTTCTAGTATTGAAGGCCACATTTTTACAATCTGGTAAGATGCTGATGGAACTTAGAGGTAACTCGTAAGTAACACCTTGAAAGAGGACATTCGTGTCTGTAGCTCCCTTATTCACCAAAAAGGCAGCGCATTCTCCGGACTCCGTTTTGAATACAATAGCCTGCCAAAAAAGACGAATGAGCAATTGTCTACAATTTCCTAGAATTACAACCACAATAAGTGACCGATTTCGTTCTTATCCAGTTATCCTTATATTCATTGTATACGATATTCCATTTCCATCTTGGACGGTAGGAACAGCTTTTTATTGCATAGAATGACGTTATTAACATGATAAAACTTACTTCTAGAGATTTGCCCAATGAGAAGTTGGATTTTGTTCCGGTGAGCAAAGGCTTGGAGCATAGCTTAATTGCAGCATGTAATTCTTTAAGATGGCCCCATTTTGGTTCCCTAATTAAACCTTCAGTAAGAATGTGGTAAACAATTACTCTGTTGATGCAAAATTCGAACCATTGAGCTATAGTTTTAAAAATGTCATACCGTATTCGTCCAGGGGGGCTTGATCATAGTAACCTGTGATCATGAATGCAGAGGTTGATCTTCCGAAGTTGGTTCCTCCATGATACTAGATGAAAAAATGAACGGTGGTTGTGGTTTAAATGAAATATGTGTACATCTTTTGTTAGGTTCCCAGGAACACAAAAAATTGAGAGAGATTTATATCAATACCATATAATAGTTGACATAGGTCCCATTCTTTGCAGCAATGAAAAGAGCAACATGAAATGCAATCTCCTCTGCTGATCTTATATACGGTTCGCCACCATAAGTTTGATAGCTGTAATCCCGCGCCCCCAAAGTCCCAAGAAACACAAAAGTTATCATCATTAAACAACAAAATTCAATATTCCTTCCATTTTTGTGAAAAAGAAATGCAAAATATTTGGATACAATCGCAAAACTTACAAACTAGTCCAATTCTCAGTCCACATAGATGGCTTATTGGGTGAGTTTGGTCCTAGGAACGTTTCTCCACATCTCATCCCGTTACACGTATTTATCTACGAATTAATATATGAGCAATATAAGAAATGAAAACGTAGACATAGAGAGGAAAATTAATGTATAGTTGAAGTATTATTTACATACGTACCATAGGGTCAGGTGCATCGTTTTGCTTGCACATGCTCCATGGCACACCGGTCTGAAGGCTAACAGCCATGTCTGCTGCCCATCGAACATAAGGCGGTCCCTTCTCACGAAAGGCTGCCTCCACCAACGTGTATTCATTCTCAATCTGCAACTCCATCGATGTGTTCTCTTAGAAGTGTTAAAAAGAAAAAAAAATAATGGAACATAAATTAAAAAACCATTCAGTGTTGGTATGGCCCATCGACTCAAACCTGTGAAAGTATGATTGGCCCTCCTTGTGAAGCATATAAGCCTTCGGATTTCATCAGGTTCACTATCTTGGTGGTGAAGTTTTGCATGTAAAACTATCATTGAAGGTGCAGGGTGACCGTGAAAACATAACAACTTTCACTTAGGTTATCATAATTAAAAGTTCACTATAAATTTAATTATATCAATTCTTCAACACACCTTGAATGGTTCATTATCAGATCGATAAACAATTTCCGGAACATCATGTAACCAAAACGGTAGACCACTGTATATTAGAAAGTTAAGACAATGACCGAGAAATGGTTATTTATAAAGGAATAATTGTGAGAAAAAGTTTCATATATCCTTACCCATAATTCCATTCCGCCTCAATGAAGGGTCCAATCCTAAGGCAAGCATATAATCCTTGCGCTTGTATTTCCTTAACGAATTTTACTACGTCGCGTCTTCCACTAAATTCATACTGAAAAAACAAAATTTTTTTACACGGTTCAAGTCATGTCTATCATCTTTTAGAGATATACAGAGAGTAGAGAGATTGAGTTACCCTTCCTTGATGGGGTTCGTGCAGGTTCCAGAAGACATAGGTTTGTATAACGTCTATTCCACCTTCCTTTGCTTTGGCAATCAAAGAAGGCCACATCTGCGTAACAAATTAACAAAAACCATCGTCATAATGCAAACTCTTTCCAACACTGAAGCACACGTAAAAAAATGTTGCGGGTTTACGGGTTGACCCGGGCCCAATTGAACTACAATGGGACCCAGCCTTTTTCTAGCCGATTCGTAATAGCCATCATGTTCACAGATGATTTGAATTTCATGTGGAGATTTTCCATTCGTCCATTGAGCGGTGACCCGAATCACATGATTCTTGAATACTTTTTGTTGGGTTTTTCTATGGCGGGCTTGATTTCGTTCACTTTCAAACAATGTTTTAAAAAATAAAAAATAAAAAATAAAAAGTATTTTTTATTTTTGTAATTAAAATTTAACTTAAAACTTCAACTTTATTTATTTTTTAAAAAATAACTTTATTAAACTAACCACTCTTTACATTAAGTATTTTTATTTAATTTTATGTTGAAAATTTTTAATTTTATATAACAATATAATACAAATTTTTTGTAATTTTGATTACAAAAAAAAAAATTAATTAATTAACAGTATAAATGTAACATAATAAATTATAATATATTTTTATGCAATAATGATAAAATATATATATATATATCGAATTACCGTAACTTAATGAGACGGTATTAAAAAATTAGAAACTAAATATATTTTTGTTTGAAAACTATTAATATAATCGTCAATCCCAACATCACAAAAAAAAATCGCTATATTTCATATTTAATAGTAATAATAATAGACCTTATTAAAAAACTGAACACAAATCACGTATCATGCTGTTCTAGAAACGCAACATTCATAACTAATCTCATAATTCTTTTAGTTCCGATTCTATCACTGAAACAAAATAGAAATTCCAAAATAATTTATTTCTTAATTAAGTAAAATTTAATCTAAGAAATTGAATAATACCGTAAACAGTAATTCACTTCATTTATTGGCCGGAAGTTTTATTAATCTAAACACCGTTTCTGAAAATGAGGGGGAAAAAGACACAGAAATTCCATTTTAGAAAAGTAGATTGAAAAGAATGAGCAAACATGAATGATGAACCACTATGGCTATGTACTTCGCCTAAACGCTAGACAACAAACCGCATTTTATTTCTCTTTTTGAACTAACCTAACACCTATTGCACAGCAATGCGAAATGGATGATCCATAGAAAAATCGTTTTCCCGCCAAAATAATTGAAACAGTGAAAATTCGGCCGCCATGATACTTAAACTCAAATTAGAAACAGAAATCATCGGAATTATCACAGAAAATCAGAGATGGATGAAGAAAGTAAGAAATCAAACTTACATCCGGAGTGCTCCGCGGATAGTGAATAGAGCCAGAGAATAAAAGCTTGTGTTCGCCATTGACGATTAAGGATCTTCCATCGTAACTTACACCGTCGCTGCCGTCGTTTCCGCCGAGGACGCAGTGGAATAACGCCGCCGTAAATACCAAAGCAGAAACGCAGAGTAATCCGACGGTGCCGTACTCCGATTTCGCCATTGATTCCCGAACCTTCCTCTCTTCCAAGGCTGTTCACTGTTGAATCAGAGAAATGCCGCTTCCTTCTATATCAACACTAGAATTCTACTTCTCTCTCACTCCTCATTCTCGAAAGCAATATACAAATTCGTCTGGATCTGTCAGAGGCGAATTTCATATACCAATTTTCTGCGTAAAAAACGAGGCGTCTCTCTTGATTTTATACAGCGCCTTCATAACTGGCTGTCAATTAATTTAAAATAAATAAATAAATAAACAAAAGAAGAAGAAGAAGAAGAAGAAGAAGTTGGCGGATTCGAGTCGAACTGGAATTTCCGGATTTCAATGGTACGTTGGGGAACTATTAAATAGTTTTGTCGGTACTTTAAGAGAATTATGGATAAATAACGGGGGGAAATGAAAATAGAGTAAGTTTGTGGGTAAGCATGTAAATTAAGTATAAAAGAAAAAAAAAAGAAAAACGGAGTGGACCCTGACCCGGACCCAATGGTAGCGGAAGCTCGTCAGTTGA